CTGTTTGATCTCTGGACTTCTGCTTCCATGAGCATTGATTGTGGACCCAAGTAAGATAAAATTCTTGACTATCTTAATCTTTTTTCTTCCTATCATGATGTTGCCTGTTGGTCTAGTTGTGAGGGTTGGGGTCTTCTTGACACTGAGCTGTATTGAAGGCTGCAACCCTTGATCTACATCAGCAAGTGCTCTACGTCCCCCTCACGTCAGCAAGCAAGGTTGTGTCCTTTGCATACCAAAGGTTGTTAATAAGCCTTCTTCTGATCCTGATGAAGAATCCTCCCATTTTTCTTCATATAATTCGACTGCGCTGATGATTTGTTCAGCACACAGATTGAATAAGTGTAGTGAGAGGCTACAACCCTGACGCACACCTTTCCTGGTTTTAAACCCTGCAGTGTTCCCTTGCTCTGGTCACACAGCTGCTTCTGGATCCATGTATAAGTTCCACAGGAGCACAACGAAGTATTCTGGAATTCTCATTCTTCTCAAGGTTATCCATAGTTTGTTATGATCCACACATTTGAATGCCTTGGCACAGCCAATGAAACACAAGTAAATTTCTTCTTTTTTTTTTGGTAGTCTTTGCTTTGAGTCAAGATCCATCTGGCACCAGCAATGATATCCCTTGTTCCATGCCGTCTTCTGAACCCAACCTGAACCTCTGGCAGCTCCCTGTTAATGGGCTGCTGCAACTGTTGCTGAATGATATTCAGCATATCATTTTACTTGCATATGGTATGAAGGATATTGTTCTATAATTTGCGCGTTGCATTGGGCCACCTTTCTTTGGAATGGGTACAGATGCGGATCTCTTCCAGTCAGGTGGCCACATAGCTGTCTTCCAAATGTCGTGGCATAAATGAGCGAGTGCTTCCGGCGCTTCATCAGCTCATTGAAGCATTTCAGTTGGTAGTGCTCAATTCCTGGAGCCTAGTGCAGCATTGGTGGTATAATGGCGAGCATAGCTGTCCTCCAGTTCCTGAAGCCTTGTTTTCGGCTAATGCTTTCCGTGTAGCTTGGACTTCTTCCATGCACCATTGGTTCTTGCTCATATGCTACCCCTCGCAATGGTGGAAAGTTGGCTAGTTCTTTTTGGTACTTTCTGTGTATTCTTTCCATCTTGTTTTGATGTTTCCGGACTCATTCAATGTTTTGTCCATCGAATGAATTTTGCAATTCGAGGCTTGAACTTTTCTTGAGTTCGCTCAGTCTAAGATATGCTTCCTTTTCGGTTTTCTGACTCCAGGTGTCTTTTTACATCTCATTATATTATTTTAATTTGTCTTCTCAAGCTGCCCTTGGACATTTTCTAGTCATCTCTTTGACTTCCTCATCTCTTCCGTTTGCCTCACCCACCCTGTGATTAAGAAGTGTCAGAGTCTCTCCCAACATCCACGTTGATCTTTTCTTTCTTTCCCGTCTTGTTCACGATCCTTGGCTTTCTTCGTGAATGCTGTTCTTGACGTCCTCCCACAGCTCATCAGCTCTCTGTCCTTAGTGTCCGATGCCTCAACTTTGTTCGGGCATGTTCTCAAAAGTCAGGTGGGATAGACAGCAGGTGGTATGCTGGCTTCGTGGACTTTTCATTTTCTTCAGCTTCAACCTGAGCTCACATAGGAGCAATTGCCGTGTGTTTCACCGTCACTCCCTGACTACACTCGGCTGCAGACACTGAGCTTCTCCGTTGTTTCTTCCCACCGATAGAGTCTCTTTGATCTGTGACGCCGGCTGGGCAAGTTCATGTGTAGTCACCATTTGTGCTGTAGAAAAACAAGTCGTTGGTCTTGCAAAACCCGATCATGCAATCGCCGGCTTCGTTGCTATCATCAAGACCATATGTTCCAACTACTGTTCTTTCCTCTTTGTTTCCAACATTTGCGTTCCAATAATTATCAACGCAGCTTGGTTTTGTAGAGTTCTTCACTTTCTTCATCGCGAGTGTTAGTGGTTGGTGCATGACGTTGAGTAAGAGCTGTCTTGATTGGATGTCCATGAAGAGCTATCTATCCACATCTGTCCATGAAGGTGGATAGATAGCACCCTATCGCGGACAGCGCCGTGTCCGTCGGGACCGTGAGTGCAATGCCACTCCCCTTGAACGTGTCCTTCCTGGCATCGTCAATGATAAATAATTTTCAGGTGCAAAACGGCCAGTGCCAGTTCGCTTCAGCTCACTCACATCTAGGCTATAGATCTTTATGCGTGCCATTTCACTTCTGATGACCTCTAGCTTTCCCAGATTCGTACTTTGTACATTCCAAGATCCGATTATTAGTCGATGTCTGCAGCTGTCTCGTGTCATCTTGAGTCATGCCCCATCAGCAAAGGAAAGTCCCAGAGGCCTTCCTCCCACAGACTTGCCTCCATTCGCGGCACCGGGGTCGGCTCTGCTCTGAGAAAGCAGCTGCTCCCGTGTCACTTTGCGACCT